TCCCTTCTACTAAGGCCATTCGCCTCGAGTTTTTGCCACATGCAATAGGAACTTGACTATCTAATGCGTGCTTTCACTTCATTACCTAATCAATAAAGAACATAGAAGTGAGGATAAAACATGATTAAGTGTGGACCTCTTGAGCCATAATCGATGGTTTATAGCATCAATGATCTAACAGTCAAACATTGATATACTACTCAAGGTATAGATGGTTTATCATTCCATTTATACTAGTGTAGCATCAATAGGGTATCACTAGAGGGTAATTAATTAACAATCTAATGATACCAAGCACAATGCATATGGTTGCATACTTTAGAGTCATAAGCATCAATGAATGTTGGGGCGACAACTTCACCAATCTCAGCTCTAATCGCAACATTCCAGGGGTTTGTGACCACTCAAGCTCACTAATGCATTGACAGTTCAAGCATCGTGTAAATCGTACGAACTCACCAATAATAATAGTTTCCTCTCCCACAAGCCATTTACTCATCACTCACTAATAGGGAGAGTTGCTATATCGTCACCGGAAACATTGTTGTCGTAGGGGTTGTTCACGACGTGTAACTCCTTCCCGATCAACAAAATGGGAATGGCTTCGTCTACAGCATCGGATGACTTACGGGTCGCAGGAGCGACAATCTTCACCAGTCCAGGACCCTCTGCTGAAACGATGACAACCGAATTTGGTTGCAACAGAGCTTGAACCCGAAAATTGGAGGAAGATGAAAAACTTAGGTAGTAGAGAGGGAAGAATAGAGGAGGGAATCATAGATTTCATGGGTAATTGGCATAAATGGTAACAAACCTTTGCACTTAGTACAAAACGATCACAAATCTTTAATTTGTAACAATACGATAACAAAAGTTTGAAATTGTATGAAATTGTCACTTCTGTTTAATTTGTGACCGTTTATTAAGTGAAAAGTTTGTTAATGAGTCATTACAAATTAAAAGCTTATGACATTTTTTAGGTTGGATCGTGTATTCATCAAGTATATGACACTAATCACTTGAACGATATGAGATGTCGGGACGTGTGTTCATTGGTATACTTGTTTTGCTGAATAATAATTCCATATGGTTACCTTTCAATTCCAATACATAGAACGTAAGAAAGTAGGTCAAATTTTGTCAACTAAAAAGCAATATATAACCCATTTTTGATGGATTGAAATCCCTCACTGTCATCTTTTGTTTTTTTCTTATGAGTACTGTCGGCCTTTGTAACGATCATATCTTTCACATAAATTAACAAAGTCACCATACTTCTATTGGAGCGAATTGTAACCATGATTGATCATTCAAACCTTTGAATGTTGCACAGAACTGTCATCAACAGTTTAATTGTAACGACATAGTAACAAAAGTTTAAACTTGTACGAAACGGTCACTCCATTTAATTTGTGACCATTTTGTTATAAATACAAACTTTTATTACCATATACTTACAAATTGAAAGTTTGTAATCGTTTTATAGTAAGTACAAAGATTTGTTACCGTTAACTACCCGAGATTTTATCAAATCTTATTTTATTCTCCAAATAGCCGAGAATGTGTATAAATACATAACAACAAAAACGATATTTTGAGTTTGGTTTTGGGACCAGATGTCCGAACCGAGCCAATTGGTTCTTCATCAAGAAGTTACGGCTAATGACAGAAAATTGAGAGTTTGTATATGGTTAGACAGGCAAAATGCCCTCTTCTGTAAGTGTCACCTGATATTCATATGCCAAAGTGGGAATGCTTGTCCTCTTCTGTTACCGAAATTATGCTCCTAAAAACGGTTTGAGTTGACATTACAATCCCTTAACTCAAACTGCAAAAGAAAAACAGCAGCTGCCTGCAATAGAAGAAACAACTAAAACGAAAGCGGAAACCAAACCAAGCCCCCATTCTACTAAAACGATTTCTCTGTTTGTCCTTCGTCTGTTCCTTTGGTTGTTGCCGTTGTTCCAATCAGTAAGCCTCTTGCTCTCCCTGAAAGACAGGACCCAGAAATACTTAACATGAAGCAAAACGAAAAACACAAAAAACAAAAAAAAAAGAGTTAAAAGTTCGTGCAGGCGTTGTTGAATAACATGAGAAGCTTTGCTTACTTTCTTGTTGGTAACGAACTGCACGAACTTGCTCTTGCCCTTGGCGCCACTGCCCTTGTTAGTGAGATGTTTCCTGATGTGCGCCCTCACGAACCGCTCATACAAGAAAGCTGCCCCTTTGAACTGCGGCAGAACCAGCCACGCCGCCAGCACCAGCTTCGCCGTGTACCATATTGGAACCCTAAGCGACAACAAACGGGAAACAAAGCACGGGATCAGAATCAGATGTCGAAGAAATTTACAATTGATCCACGATTCTTGAAAGACGAATTGTACCACTCGAGAACGGATTGAAGCAGCATCTCGGAGAGGGTTATGAAGGAATAGATGATCCAATAAGCAAGCCACTGCTCATCGTCCTCCTTACCAGGGCTCTCTATCGCCATCACTGACGCATACCTAACAAATTAGTTCCCCATACCCACAAGTCATTTTCAATTGAAACTGTTATAAACGCGCAGCTACAGATCGAAAAATTGCCGGAATCAATAAAACAAGAATACAAAAAACGAGAATAGAAAAACACAGACAAACGATTTACGTGGTTCACTAACACAATGTGTGTTAGCTAGTCCACGGGCGAGAGAGAACCAGTTTCACTATATCGAGGAGATTACAGATTACAGAGAAGTATGAGAAGTATTTATTGTACTTATCCATGTCGGTCTAAACCTAATCCAATCTGGCAAAGAAAACGGTTACAGACCAGACCCAAAACTCGGCTCACTGGCCAGGCAGCGAGACCCCCAACTACCAGTCGTAACGGCTGATAGTCCGATTCAAATCAACGGAAACCCATCTTTGACACAATTTTTAAAAGGACAGAATTAACAGAGTTGACCAGCTAGGGCAGGGTACTCCAAACTTACAGAGGGTAAAGCAGCATCGTAACCGGCCTGCAACGAAAGGGATAAAAAGGTTGAGGAGGAAGCATCGGATCAAAATACAGGCGGATCAAAACCCTAGAAACTATCCAAGGGGGATAAAAGATGGGGACTTTAATTACCCAGCAACAACGTGAACGTGGGTGAGGAAAGTCCAGAAACGACTCATCTCTTGAATTCTCGAAGCAGGCTACAGACAAGGAGAATTGGAAGAACAAAGGAAAAGCTTATGTGGGGTTTCAAGGTAGGAGGAGAGGAGAGGAGAGCGAAGGAGTGAAAAGTTGCTGAAAATCTCGAGAGTTGAGTGTATGCTGCGAGATGGAAATGAAATGAGCCCTGTTTTTATACAAGAAAAAGAACTACTACAGAGAGACGAGGGCACGTGGCGGAAGATGAGCTGTAGAGAGTAGTATCATATTCTGCCTTCAGTTGGTGGAACCGTCCAGATTGGGTTCAAATTCTGTTTTATCAAACAAAATGAGGACCCAAAACCCAAAAAGGAGACAAATTGAATTGAGGCAACCGTCTGATCCTTCGCAGAGCGGCATCGTATCAATCTTAATAGTTTGTTGATTACTGAATGGCACTCTGCTATGTGCAATTAATTGTCTTTTCTTAATTGAAATTTGGGTTTAATTCTTTATTTGGGATTTTGTCTTTTTCCTCGTGGTGGAGCCACGCGTTCACGTTTTTTCATTGACAAGGACGGTGAAACTGAAACCCGTCTCGACTTGTCCCAGGGCGGTCATGTCGACACATAAGACAAATAGGCTAAAGATAGGGTGCATAACCCATCAATAACAAATGGGTTATGCACCCATCAATAACCAAATCTGAACTCTTCATTTAGAAAATCCAGATCTAAGGATGGAGAATTAAAGACATTTTTATTTTTTCTAGCTTTCTTAATCGGCTCATATCTTTTTCGTTTTAACTCGGATTTTAAATTTTTTTGCACAGGTGGAACGAGTTCATCGTGCTCTACAAAATGAGATCAATTTTAAATATTTTTTGAGAAAAAAAAATTCTGGCATCTCGATACCAACTGCATACCATATGGTATTTTCTTCATTTTTAATTCGTTTTTGAAAATGTTTGCACAGAAGGGACGAGTTCATCATGATCTATTAGATCTACAAATTTCTGGGTGAACAAATTACAGGACCAAAAAATACCACACAATACCATACAATACCACACTGGTACGGGGTGGTATTGTATGGTATCTTCTTCGTTTTTAATTCATTTTTGAAAACGTTTGCACAGAAGAGACGAGTTCATCATGATCTATTGGATCTACAAATTTATGGGTGAACAAATTACAAGACCAAAAAATACCACACAATACCATACAATACCACCCTGGTACGGGGTGGTATTGTGTGGTATACAATGTTAAAAGTCGTAAATTACAATTAATATACTTCTACTATCATGTATTCAACCATCCTACAGTATTGGTTTGTTCATACCACCATGGTACGTTTTTCAAAACATAGGTATGCTTTTATTTCAATACCAGTCAATACCATATGGTATAGGCTGGAAAAAAATGGCTCAATTTTTTTGTTTGAAAAATATATTAAAGTGGATATCATTTTGAAGAGCACAATTAATCTGATCTAACTGTGCAAAAAAAATTAAATTTCGACTTAAAATGAGCGAGAAATCGTCCATCAAAGATTAAAGAGGGAAAAATTAAAGGCTTTCCATGAGAGAGAGGATGCTGATGTCATGCTGATGTGGACGGGTTACTCATGGTTACTCACCACAAAGTTACTCACCTGATCTGCTCCCAGACAAATAACTTTCTGGCCCAACCGAAACCCGAGTTACCTGTTTTTTTATTTTTTATCAAACCTGATTGGGCCGTTGTCCAATTAAGCTCTTTTCTTAACAAATGCTACGTGGACTTTGAAGCCCAAGCTTAAGCCCGAACTAGTACAATTTTCAACTCATAACCTTCACTAATCAATCCCCAAAAATCTACTCAAATCTCTCCCAGAAAGCTTGGTTGCATGATAGTATATAATCATCCTATAGTCTTGGTATGTTCATACAACCATGTTAAGTATGTTCATACCACCATGATAAGCTTTTTTCATACCATATGATAGTTGCATTGCATCCTACTATCATGTATACAATCTTCCTACAGTCTTGGTATGTTCATACAACCATGGTAAGTATGTTCATACCATCATGGTAAGCTTTTTCATATCATATGATATGCTCTTATTTAATACCAGTCAATACCATATAGTATATACTTTTAAAAATGAATCAATTTTTTTTTTTGTTCAAAAAATATATCAAAGTGGATATCATTTTGAAAAACACAATTAATCTAATCTAATTGTGCAAACAAATTTAAATTCTGACTTAAAACGAGTGAGAAATCATCCGTTAAAGATTAAGAAAAAAATTAAAGGCTTTATGGAGAGAAGGGACGTTGATGTGGCGAATGATTATTGTGTTATGCATGGTTACTCACTATAAGATTATGCATAGGACCTACTCCCTTCGGCTATTCTCAACCCGTAGGCTAAAATAGCATTTTGCCTTTTTAGCCCCCAAAAATTTCCTTCAACCATGGGGCGAAAGAGGCGGTTAAATGGCTATATTGGATTTTTTGGGAAAAAATCTCACTGTACACATGTTTTAAAAAAAAATTCTCAAAATACACACGTTATGAAAAAAATTCCCAATCAACGCATGTTTGGGTATTCACTGCGTCAGACCAAGGCGGTGATTGCATCACCGCAGTAAAGAAGAGCGGTGATTGCATCACCGCTGTAGACAAAGACGGTGATAGCTTCACCGCATTAAACGGCCGCGGTGAAGGCCTAACCTGCGTCGAAACTTAAAAAAAACGTAACTTTGTGCTCGGTTATCCGATCGTGGCGAATTTTTTTTTGATTCCGCATAATTTTTTGAGATCTTGCAAGCCGCAAACCGCCGCTTTGGTCCCGCCTTCGTCCCGAAAAAACGTCGTTTGCTACCCCGAACGAGCCTTTTTTCTATTTCGTCAAACTTTGAACGACCATAACTTTGTGCTCCACAATCCTAAAATCATGAATTTTGTTTTGATTTCGCATAACTTTTTAAGGACTACAATTTTTAGTAGGAGAGAATTTTCAAAAAATGAATTATTTTTGGATATACGGGGTTTTGGGAATAAGTTTACCTTCCCTTTTCAGGAATTCAAGTACATTCCGAAATTATGTCTATGATAAAAATTGTAGTCCTCAAAAAGTTATGCAAAATAAAAAAAAAATCACGATTTTCGGATTGTGGAGCACAAAGTTATGGTCGTTCAAAGTTTGACGAAATCGAAAAAAGGCTCGTTCGGGGTAGCAAACAACGTTTTTTCGGGACGAAGGCGGGACCAAACCGCCTTCGACAATTTCGCCACGATCGGATAACCGAGCACAAAATTATGTTTTTTTAAAGATTTGACGCAGGTCAGGCCTTCACCGCCTTTCTCTAGAGCGGTGATGCACCGGTGATGCAATCACCGTGCTTCTCTCATGCGGTGATGTAATCACCGCTTTTCTTTAATGTGGTGATCCAATCACCGCCTTGCTCAGACACGGTGAAGGCCCAAACATGCGTAGATTGGGAAATATTTTCATAACGTGTGTATTTTGAGAATTGTTTTTAAAAACATGTGTACAGTGGGAAATTTTCCGGATTTTTTGGGGGTAAAATGACTCTACCTTGAGTGAGGCAAAAGTGGATGGCAAAAATGATGGGGACCAAATGCTGAAAAATTTCCTTCTTCTTTTTTTAATTGTTTTGTTTTATACTATTAGTTGTGTTCTATTGTTTTTATCTAACGAAGACTATTTCGATTGAAATTTCGACCATTCAAAGTCTATTTGAAGAGGAAAAAATAACACTCAAACAAACTCAAATCTCAAACATACTCAAACAAACTCACACTTAAAAAAAATCATTTCGTTGTTCAAATTCTTGAAAATTTTGATAGACAAAATTCCTTCTGGTGTAGCTTTTGTCAATTTCAACGAAAACAAAAGTATCTTGGAAATAACTCAAATTTTATCAGAATGTTCTTATCAAATTATCATGAACAAATATATAAAATTTACATTAAAAAATATAAGTTTAACTATTACTAAGTTAGGATTACTAAATATGAAACATAAGATTATAGCCCTCGGGTTGCAGCTGTTTATGTTTTCGAGAGGGCTAAAAGGCCTTTTAGCCTTTAGACCCCAATTTTTTGGCCCCGGGTTGTGGTTAGCCTTAGACCATCTAAATGGAGTGCTAAAAATTAGAGCCAAAGTGTTAAATTTGGCACTCAATAAAGTGTTTTCCCTCCAATGGAGTAGAGCCAAATGCCAAAGTGCTATATTTGTGATTTTTTATTAGTTAGTCTATTGTACATTTTATTGATTTATTTATATAATTATGAAATTATTTTTATATAGTTAGTCATAATTAATTAAAATGAACATTTTGATGTATTTTTTTAATTTTGATATATTTTTTCCGATGATAAATATTTACAATTGAAGTATGTGGTGATATTTGTAGAGAAAATTTGAAAAATATAGCTGTTGGGAAAAATTGGTGGCTGGTGGCACTGGCGGATACATGGACCGGGACACCCCTAAAATTTGGAGAACTATTATCCAATCCCCGGTTGTAGTTTTGTATGGAAAAACAATTATAATTGGTAATCCGGGACACCCTTAAAATTTGAAAAAAATGATTATCCTACTCTTGATAGTAGTTTGTGTAAGATTAAAAAAATTTACATAGTAGTTTGTGTTATTCAAACCTAGGACACTACTATTATTAAACATATTCTGTAGGTTTACAACTCATTTCTTGTTCTATTTAAACACTATGAAATAGTAAAAACATTATTCCTTATCCCCAACTATTTTCAAAACCTAACAACTAAACCAATTGTGGGCTATCTTTAATTTAATTGATTTTATAATTACACGACAAGAGTTAAAAGAGTCTTTCAACTTTGAGTTACATAAAGAACAAGGTTAGAATTCGAATATGTGATCAGTTCGTGAATTATTGTCTAGTATGATATATAGATTTGTTGAGCGGTGAAGACGTTGAGTATATTTTATATTCTTTTCAGAATATGAAAACACGTCGTGGCCTTTTGTTAAAATTTGTATTAGTCATGTCTTTTCTTATATATGAATTATTTAATTTAATTATTAATTATTAATTTTTTAAAGAGGACACTGCCACACTGGCTGGTGGAGAAGTTTTTCAAGGGGGACTAATATGCAATTTGGTTATTAAAAAAGGGCAAATACCACTAGGAAACCCGAACTATGAAGAATGTGTCATTTGTGTCCTAAAGTATCCAATATGACATTTGTGTCCCAAACTATTTTTCCGTTAGAATTGACCGGCGTTGACCGTTAATTTTTAACAGAAAGCCTAGTCAGCGCTGAGGTGGCATTTGAAGTGGAATTTATAATTATTTCTCATATAAGAAAAG